CGTTTGTTTGTTTGTTTCTATTAGATTTATAATGAACAAAGATTGCTTCTAAAACAAACAAACAATCCAAAATTTATTTATTTATCTTTGATGTTTTGTTGTTGTTATTGCAAAACATTTTGATTATCAGCAATTACTGATCATCATCACCAAAAAAAAATATTATCATTGTCAACATAGACACAATGATCCAGTGTCATATGACAAACAACATTTTAATCTTTTTTTTTCACTTAACACACACACGCACACCAAATCCAGAAAAAAACTTGGTCAAATTCCAACATCATGATAATGATAATGATAATTAGTGCAGGTTTTTTTCAGGTTTTTTTGTTTTCTAAACAAAAAATAAAAAAAAACTGAAAATAAAAATAAAAACTTTGTAAATTGATCTTATCTTGCTTACAATCTAAAATCATAATCATTTTAAAGAAAGAAAAAAAATTTCAATTTGGCGCCATTCAGACCGACAGACATACAACCCATTTATTGTCTTCTTGTTTGATTTATCAGGTGATAATAATGATTTTATTTCATTTTTTTAAACAAAAAAAAAACAAACTTTCATTTTGATTGAAATCAATTTCTTCCAAAGTAATAATCCACTTGGATTTTTTAAAAGTAAAATGATAAAAATTCTTACAAAAAAAAATTCTCCATAAAACATGTTAATTAAGAATAAAATTCCATTATTATAATAAATTTTTTTGATTACAAAAACTAAGCAATATGGTCATCATTATCATTATCATTGCATAAAAATGTCTATTATCAATGTCAAGGATTATTATATGACGCACTTGATTGATTAATTGGATGTTTTTTCAATTTGCTAATTAAACATAAACAATCATCGTTTGCCTAATTAAAATGACTGAAAAAAAAAATGAAAAATCTCATTACAAACTAATTTGCAGAAAGAAAATTTCATGGAATCTTTTCCATTTTTTTCTGTTGTTTATTTTCAATTTCAATCAAACACAACACACAAACAATTTGTTTCAAAACAAACAAAATTGTTTGGATGCTCAAAAATGTCCTCAAATTATTGGCCATGTTGATGAATATATAAACAGCTGGCAAAAGACAAATCATTGTTGAATTTTTTACAAACAAACAAACAAACAAAAATGCATATTGCATCCAATCTTTTTTTAAAAAAATTTTTATTGCTTTTTTTCAGGTACAAATTTGTTTGTTTCTCGAAATTTCGTCAATTTTTTCCCTGACTGTTTGTATTTCCCAAAGTTATCAATCGATCGATCGATCGATCGATATTGAATTTTTCATTGTAGTCAGCAATTATTGTTGACAATAATTAAAAAAAATTTTAACATCATCAAGCTAATAACAAGAGAGAAAACACAATGTTTTTTAAAAAAATTCAATTAGTTAGGTAAGAAAATGATGAGAATCCTGAGAATGTTTGTCAAATGTTTGTATTTATTTTTCTTCCATTTTTAACAATTTGACAAATTAATAATAAACTCATGGTCTTTGCTTTCTCTTTATCACATTTGAGTATTTACAGATGACATATATTTGTTGTGAAAAAGCAAAATTTTTCAATAATCATATTCTAATTATTTTGGTTTTCTTTCTTCTGTAAATAAACATTCATCTTTTTTCCTTCAACTGAAACAATCGCTTTTCCTTCAAAAAAAAACTTTTATTATTTTTGGAATGAAATTTTCATCTAATTCTTTCATTTCTAATACAAATATCAGATTACCCGATGACGATGATGCTAATCATAATCATCATAATTTGAATTCGATTGTCATCATCATCATCATCGTTCGGATTGATAATCGTTTATGTAAACATTTTACTTAAATAACAAAAGATTTCAAAAGGGAAATATCATCATCATCATTATAGTGATGAAAATCAAAAACAATTTTTTTTCCGAATGTTTATAGTGTGTGGGACCAATTTTAACAATAAAATATTTTGACAAGCAAAACGAAAAAAACATCGGATTTTTCTCATTCACAAACAAAATCAAGCTGCCATATGTCTGCATTGAAGAAAAGAAATATTCCGGATTCTTTTTGTTATTCATATTCAGATTTAGATCAGTGTAATAACAATCCATAATTTTTATGAAATAATGTTTTTTGGTTGAATAAACATTCAGCAGAATGAAAACAAAACAAAAAAACTATTTTGTTTTGTTTTGACAGAAAACAATTGGAAAGAAGAAGAAGAAATCTTTTGTTGTTGTTTGGAATTAACAAATCATCATCCGACCAGATTTGTAATAATTTATTGCAATCAAAAATCGATTGATTTTTGGATTTTGTTTTGTTTTGTTTTAAACATTTTGTTTCATTGAAACTTTTTTTTTTAAAAAAAAGGGAAGAAAAATCAATCGATCATTGGAAAAATGATTTCAGGGAAAACAAAAAACTGTTGCACAAATATTTTATTTGTTGAAAATATTTTATTTATTTGTTTGATTTTTTTTCTTTGTTTCTAGAAAATTTACCATTTTCTTCACAATATGAAGGACATGTGTGGGCCATGTGTATTTTGTTTTGTTTCATCACTGATGATGATGATGATGTTTATTTTTTTCCAAAATGAATATTCCTTTATTGTTTTGTGTTTTTTTCTGTTTCTTTCTTTCTATTTGGCTTGGTTTTTTTGGCAATAAATCGAATCGAAAAACAAAAATTTGCTTTTCTCTCTTTCATTCTCACTTCAATTGATTCATTCAATTCATTCATCGTTTTGAATTTTTCTTTTTATTATTATTTTGTTCTGATTCATGGCATCCATTTTCACAAACAAATTTATTTGTTTGTTTATTTGTTTTGAACATTTTTGTTGTTTTTCATTCATTCATTCGCTTGCACACAGACAAACATGGTGTTTGCATTTTCAAAATGAAAAACATGCAAAACAAAAAAACAATGATCATCAAATTATGTCAGTAGTAATTATAAGGAATTTTCCTTCAAAAAAAAGTTTGGAAAAAACAACAACAACAATGGAAAATTCCGGAAAAAAAATGTTATGATTGAATAAAATCAAAACAGATGAAAGAATAAAGTAAATAAGGAATCATTAGGAAAAACACCTTTTCGTTCAACGATATCATCATTTGGGAAATGAAAATTGTTGTTGTTTACTTATTGATTTCTGGAAAAGAATATATGTCAACGAAACAATGGAAGAAAAAAAAACAATAGGAAAAAACAATGAAAAAATGTTTTTCTCGATTCTCGACTTTAGGAAAAGGAAATGCTTTTGTTTTTCGTTTTATATTGGAAAACAAGAAAAATTGATTCAACGATTTTTCAAAAATCATGATTGTTTTGAAATTTTTTCTTTTCCGTCACTGACGGTATGACGACAATTGACAATTCTTGAGAATTTTTAATTTTTCTTTGGAAAAAATATTGTTGTTGTTTTCTCAAAATTCTAACGGATTTTAAATATTAAATTTATTTTTTTTTCTCACTTGTGACTTGTGATAAATATATGCAAAAAAGAAAAACAACCGAAAGCAAAAATCGAGATTCCATCGGGAAAACATTTAAGTTGCTTTTTGCGGTTACAAAATTTCGAAAAAAAAACTCAATTTCGTCACCAAAGCGACGTTTGTTATTTATTTGTTGTTTTTCTCGAAAGTTTTCCCAAAACCAAACAAAAGAAACAAAACATTTTAAAAAATTTAAAATAATTCAAATTTCATAATTGTTTTGAAACTTTTTTGTTTCTTTTTTTTGTGTGATCCCGAAATAGAATGCAGAAAACCGAATCATCATTCTATTTTATCAGGTGATTCGTTTTTTTTTGCAACAAGAAAAATAATTGATTTTTTTCCTTCCTTCCTTCATTTGTTTTCGATTAAAATGATATGACAAACATACTGAAGAAAAAAAAAATGAAAAATTGTTCAAATTTTGTTGGCATAAAATTTGACGATCGAAAATATGGTCGAAAATAAAGCACAACAACAACAAAAATGATCACGCAAAGATTTATTTAGGTATGCCGTGTTTGTTGTTGTTGTTGTTATTGCATAAACCACTTTTTTTCATTATTTTGTTTTCAATAAAGATAATTTGTGGTCGTAAGAAAAATATGGAATATTTATTCCAACAGTTCCAAGGTTTCATTCAATTATTTTCGATTTTTTTTTTGTTTCTTTGCTGGCATTCGGAAAAAACAATTCAAGTGGGATGATGATGATTTCCAAAGAAAATAAAATTTTGTCAACAATGATCATTATGAGAAAACAAAAAAATGGATAAATTTTTACCTCCCAAGCATACCACCATATAAACAGCCTACAACGTCTAACTTTTTGATTTCAATTTTTTTTTAAATTCCATGGAATCAACGTTGAGATAAATTCTTTCGAATCAAAGAAGAAGAAAAAGTTTCAAAATTCATAAACAAAGTTAAGTTTAGAAATATTTTTTTGTTTTGTTATGAATTTAATTTTTGTGACAAATAAATGATGATTTCTTTGGAATTTAATCTATAATCAAAATCAAAAAAGATATATATGTTGGCCATGACAACAAACAAACAAACAAACATTGCAATAGAGGAGAAACAAAACAAAAAAATAATTGTTATCATTACGGTTTTAATTGTCATGTTTTTTATTAATCATCGAAATTCATATGAATTATCTTTTCGGACCTCTCATATCATAGACACACACGCGCATCACCCGATAAATCAGGCCATTTTAATCAGTAAATCATGATCAACAAGTGTTTGACAGACAAAATTTAAAAAATTCAATATTTTTTAAAATATAAGGACAATTTATATACGAAATCAAAATCATATTCATAAATAAAATTAAAATCTTTTTTTTTGTAAAAATAAAACTAATCACAAATTATAAAAATAAAAATAAAAACAATAATTTTGGTCGTTGGTTTTGTTATGGAATGTTTGACCGGTATACATATTTTCGATACAAATTTATGAAGAAGATCAACAAATCAATCAATTGGTCCATTGTTTTTTTTCACACTCTCTCAAACATTCAGGCATAAGGATCTTGTTTCATAAGTTCAATATCAGCATCAACCATTTCTTTGACAAGTTCCTGTTTAAAAAAAAAAAATCATTATTCATTTGAAAAGTTTATGTTTTTATTATGATAACAAACTTGAAATGAAGTTTTAGGTTTCCAATCAAGTTTTCTTTTTGCTTTTGAAGCATCGCCCAATAGGAAATCCTATATTGATTTTGTAATCAATAAATAATAATAATAAACATATCGATTATGTGAAAGGATTAAAATATGAATATTTTTTTAAAAAGAAAAATACGTACCACTTCCGCTGGACGGAAATAACGTGCATTCACTTTTACACGAATAATACCAGTCTGTTTTTCTTTACCAACTTCATTAAGACCATTACCTTCCCAAATGATTTCTCTATCAATATGTTTGAAAGCTGATTCGACAAATTCACGAACTGAATGTGCTTCACCGGTTGCAATGACAAAATCTTCCGGATTTTCTTGTTGTAACATTAACCACATGGCTTCAACATAATCACGTGCATGGCCCCAATCTCGTTTTGAATCCAAATTACCCAATTCGATGAATTCTTGTCGATTAAGAACAATTTTTGCCACACCACGTGTAATCTTACGTGTGACAAATGTTTCACCACGTCTAGGTGATTCATGATTGAATAGAATACCATTGACGGCAAACATTTCATAAGCTTCACGATAATTGACAACAATCCAATAGGCAAATGATTTTGCAACACCGTATGGAGATCGTGGATAAAATGGTGTTGTTTCACGTTGCGGTACTTCTTGTACTTTACCATACAATTCTGAAGTACTTGCTTGATAGAATTTCATTTTTAATTTTCCATTTTCATTTGTTATATTTGCTGTACGAATTGCATCCAATAATCGTAATGTTCCAAGTGCATCAACATTGGCAGTGTATTCACTTAAATCGAATGATACTTTTACATGACTTTGTGCAGCTAAATTATATATTTCATCTGGTTTAATTTCATGTATTAAACGAACCAAACAGGTACTATCAGTCATATCACCATAATGTAATTTCATTGCTAAATTAGAATAAAATTGCCATTCTTGATTCTTTTGTCCATTGGATATATAATCATGTAATGGGATAGAAATCAACTTACAACCCTCTTGATGTGTTGAACGATCTTTGTAAAGATGTTGAATACGACCAGTGTTAAATGAACTAGATCGTCGAATTATACCATGTACTTCATAACCTTTATCGATTAAAAATTCAGCCAAATATGAACCATCCTTAATTTTCGAAAAGAAATATAAACTAAAAAATGAAATGAATTTAATCAAATTAATCAATCATACCTGGCCAGAAATACCAGTAATCAGAGCAATTTTTCTTGTATGACCATTCATTTTATTATATCAGAAATGAGAAATATAAATGATTATCAAATGACTAAAGAATTTTGTTAGCTAAATTGAGATCAAATTCAAGTCGTCCAGCTTAGTTCGAAACAAATAAAAAAAACACATAAAAACAAGCTGAAAATATCAATAATTGAAATAAATAAGATATTCGTTTTTTACATCATGAAGATTGATGTTAAAAAATAGAAAAATTCTCAATTTTAAACTAAAAAAAAAGAAAAAGAAAAACTTTGGTCCAATAAATAAAAAAGAATTTCTTTAAGCTGACCTGTATCAAAAAACCAAAATCAAAACAAGCTTCAACTGTTCGTATAGAACGTTACCAGAATATTTTGCCGGATCATATTTTTATTCAAATGTAAAAGAAAAAATCATATGTTGATTGTTGAAATTTTAAATAATTCCAACATTATTCGATTATAATCAATCATAATTAATTTTTTATAATGAAAATCTAGCCATACTTCAATTTTTCTTGTTTTAGAAATCATTGTATCTAATTTTTTGGCATTATTATTATTGTCAATATTTTGTGAAACAATAGCCACCAATTTTGTTTTTGTATCATTATTTCGGTTTGGTAAGTTGTTGTTGTTGTTGTTAATATTATTATTTTTGAAAATTTCCTTTTCACCAATATTCATCGTAACAAGATTCATTAGTATACCTTCATATGGTTTTATTCGTATCATATGTGTTCCTTCGGATAATATAATCATTCTAGGTGAATTTATTGATGTTTGAAATGTATTTGGTTTGATCATTGTTTTTGAACCAATTATTGGATCATAATTTAAAAATTTTGCTTCAAATAAACCTTCAAGTACATAGAATCCACCGGATAAAATTAATGGACGTTCATGATGATGATTATTATTATTTGATTTTTTTAGTTGACTTTTTCGTCGTAATTTATTATCTTTTTTATGTGTATTCCAAATATGAATACCAACACAAGCAGCATTTTGTGCAACAAAAAATATAAAACGATTAAAATTTTCATTCAATGTTTTCATTTGTTGAAAACTTTTATTCCAATCATCATCAATATCTGTGACATTAGTTTCATTACCACATACTGATATCCAAATACCATTTACTGTTGGATGACGATAATGTTCATATGGTATTAATTTATCAATTGGACCAATACGTCCTTGACAAAAATCATTTGGTTCTTTACAAACACAATGTAAAACCGGTGCTATTGATTCATTATATATGGCGCCATCTTTAATCTGACGATAAAGTTGTCTTTTTAGAATCCATTTTAATGAACAAAAATATATACCATATCTTGGTACAATATCTAATACTTTTGATGATGATCGTTTCCAATTTGTTATTGTACGAAATGAATATACAGGACGATTTAAACGATTACCATTATTTTGATTATTATCAATCGACGATAATATTACTAATGAATCATTTTTATTTAATGTTTCTAACATTTGTACTTTGGTCGAATTTTCTGTTAATAATTCAAATGATAATAAATTCATTTGTAATAGTGAACTTTTAATTGTTGTTAATGAACTCATTAGATTCATTTGTAATGATGATGATTCGGAATTTAAAGATTTTTGATCATCCGACATGATTGATTTTTTTTCAAGTTTCAAAAACAACGAAAATTTCAATTTACTTTTTCAAATCAGATTTTCAGGAAAATTTTCTCATTTTATACAAAAAAAAAGAATTCGAAAATCGAATCAACCAGAAGAAATTAAAGAATTATTATTGTTGTTGAAATATTCATCATATTTCATTCCAAAAAAACTAAAAAAAAACAATAATCGTTGTTGTTGTCGTCGTTTGATGTAACATGATCTTTTAAACAGTCATTTTTTGATTCCAGTTTTACCATCAGAAAATCCAAAATTATGATGTTTTATCAATTATAAATTCAATATTCTTGTTTCCACATGTTTTGTAAGTGCGAATTTTTCTTTTTTCGTTTTTTTTCACTGAAATATTATACCCCTATGTCATTCAAGTATTTTGTTTTTTTTTCGGATGTGCAAATAAATTCAGCGAAAAAAAGAACGGATAAACTCTTATTGAATTTTTTTTTGTTTCACATTAATAATGATGATGATGACACTGATAGATATTTATGTTGTGAATATGAAATTATCATGAAAACGGTTTTTTTTTGGTGATCGAATCGAATCGATATCGATTCGATTCGGTTTTTTTCTTGATTGCCAATAATCTTAATTTATTGTTTTTTTTTCTTTGTTTTTCCAAAATGTATAATCAACTTGTCTCATTTCAAATGGAATCTTTTTTTTTTCTCCTATCTAAAGCGATGGATCTTCTGACTTACATTCATCTTACAAACACACATAAATTCACCAACCAACCAACCAACCACACACACATATCCATTGAATACATATGTTTGACATGTCCGAATCTTTTTTTTTTCGTCGATCGGTGATCGATTATTGTCGATTTTTTTGGTTTGCTTCTGTGTAAGAATAGAGGATTTTTTCTTCTTCTTCGTCTTCATCTTGTTCGTCGATCATCGCCAATGAATGATTGTCAATGAATGAATGAATTTGGAACAAACACATTGAATTTCCATTTGCTATTAAGATTTTTTTTTTCTTTCTTTTTATTTGATTGCCCGAATCTCTGGTTACTTACGATTTCTTTTTCTTTTTCTTATTTCGATAAATCCTTGGTCATTGTGTGCATAAGATTTATTCGTATAAAAAAAATTGTCCGTTCCAATAATCATTTGGTATGTGTTGATGAATTGGAATGATTTTCTTTTTTCATTGCTGTAAGCGAAAATGTCACACACAATAACCAATTCCATCGAAATCGTAAACAACACACACACACACACACACACACACACACACAGTTTGATTGATTCGAAATTTTTTTTAAAATGAATTGCTCATTTTTTTGTTGTTGCAAAACTTGAATCACCCTATATATCTTATCTTTGTTGTCAATCTTGTTGCTGTTTTGTTCCAAGATTCGATTAATCGAAAATTCATGTATCGATTAATCGATAGTGATGGGGGAATGAAAACAATGTGTGATTTACGAGAATGAGTTTTTTTTTAATTTAATTAAATGTTTATTTTTTTAAAATTTTTATTTTTATTTATAAATATTTTTTAGGAGAAATTTATATTTTGTATACAATAGGAAAAAACGAGAAAAAGAAGAAGAAAGAATTTCATGTGTGTAAATTGTGTATGTGTGATGAAGAACAGAGAGAGAAAGGGAAATATGTCTTGTTTTGCTTTAAATAATTTTGGCTTGATTGTTGTTTGGTTACCAATTTGAAAATTTGAATAAAATTTAACAAAAAAAAAATCATCAAAGTAATAATGTTGTTGTTGATTCATATGTGGGTTCAAATCCATCGAGAAGAATAATTTATTTACAATAATTTTGAAATAGTTTTTTTTCTGTTTTTTAAAATTTTTAAAATTATTTTACAATTTTGTTGTTGTTGAAATACTTATTTGTATGAATGAAATGAAATGATGATAATGAAAAACGAGAATGGTGGGTGGGTGGGTGTGATGGTTTGTGTGTAACAAGGCTGATTTGCGAATGCATATTTTTCTAATCAAAAAAAAAAAAAAAAAAAATCTTTACATTCATTGAATTGAATGTTGAAATTCTAAATGGTCTTGCTGTGTGTGGTGTGTGTATTTGAATCAGAATTGAGCGCCAAATTGAATTTCTTGGAATTTTATTTTGAAATGAAATGAAATCATAAAACATGATCATTTCTCTAACATTTTTGAATTATTCTGGTGTCTATATTGTTGAAAAACAAGAAAAAAATGAGATAAAATAACATTATTGAAAACCAAAACAGAAAAAAAAATCATTCATTGGGTGTTTGTGTGTGGATGATAATGATGGTGTTGAATATTTATAAAGAATGATGGTTGATGGTGATGGTTATGATATTTAATCAATGAATCATTGATGGATGATAAATGAAATATGGAGAGAGAGAGAGAGAGAAAGAAGAAAAAATTGAAGCAATTGTCAAGTACATTTTTTTTATAAATAATATTATTATTATTACCCAATTTGTTGTTGTTATCGTTGCTTGTTTTTATATATCTTTCCTATAATAATAATGGCTATCAATAAAAACGATTTGTGTCTGTGTGTGTGTGTGGTTGGGTTAATGGGGGGTGTGTGAATTTGAAAAAAAAATCAGAACAGAAAAAACGAAAGGGTAAAGAATTTCTATTGAAGAAAACAACCGAAAAAAGAAAAAGAAAAATCCAATTACAATCATTTTCTATTCATCAGAATCAAGTTTTTTTTTCTCGAATTTTTCTGTAAAATTCAATTATCATTCAATTATTTTGTATTGGAAAAAACAAAATTTTTTCTGGTAAATTTGAATTTGAATACATAAAAAAAGAAAGGATAAACATGATGAGTGATTTGTGATGTTTTGATTCAATGCAATTGGTAATACCGAAGGGATAAAAAAAATCAACAAACCAAAATTTTTTTTTGTTTTTTTGTGGATAAAATGATTTAACATTCAATTTTTGTTTCAAATATTTCAAAATTCTTTGCACAGTTTTATGTAGTATAATACACAAGGTTTTATCTCAAAGGCTTATTTCTTTGTTTTAGAAAAAAAGTGTTTGTGTGTTTTGTCAGTGAATTTACATTTTTGTTTTTTTGGAACTACTTTTTCTTCTATTTTGATGAATTATACTTTGGTAAATGATGAATTTGTCAGGTGCCTAGATTATGATGATGATGATGATAATGATGATTATTGTTTTTGTTTAGAAAAAAAAATTTCAAAATTTTTTTCACTCTGTTTTCTGTTTTGTTTGAAAACAGAGATGAATGGCAGCGTAGAATATGAAAAATCAAGATATTTGATGCAATTTTTTTTTGTTTTTGTCGTGAGTTTTTCTTTTGTTTTGTTTTTTTGGTTTAACGAATAAGTGCTACATCTTGACGATTTGTATCTTGTCTTGGTACCATTTCAATAACAGCTTCACTACGATAATAAACTTGTCTTTGACCAATATTTGTTTGTTGTTGTTGTTGTTGTTGTTGTTGTCCACTACCATAACCAGTATTTGAATTGGTTGAATTTAAAGGCACTGAAGAATCATCTTCTTCTTCTAATGTTGATTGACCACGTAATAGATAATGTGTTGATGATTGATGTCTACCACTAGCTGATGCTGGACCATTTGATGATGGAAAAATATCATTTTCAGTTAATACATCATCATCAATAATATCATCATTAAGCTCCATTGCTGAACGTTGTTCGGATGGTCCAACACCAGATTCATCACCTTCATCAATACAACCATCAACATCAATTACATCATTGAGCAGTTCATTTGTATCACCATTACTTCCTATAGGCATCGGTGAAGGCCTTTGACTGCCCGGATTACTATTACCGGAAGTTTGTTGTGTTCTAACATTACCACCACCACCACCACCACCTATATTACCAGGTGTAGGTTGATTCGTATAATATGTTCCTCCTCCACCACCTCTTCTTAATGAATTAGGATTATATTGTGATTGATGTTCCATTGATGTTTGTTGCATTTTATTGAGCTGATGTTGAGCACAATCAGGATGATGTTGTGGATGTATTAACATTGATGGCTGACCACCACCACCACCACTAGTCGTTATTATACGTGATGTATGTTGTGGATGTCTATATTGTACAGATTGATGATGATTGTCGCTCATGATTAACATTGATGCATCGGTTAATTTACTTGGATCAAGAGGTAAGGTTCGATATTGTTGTGGTTGTTGTTGTTGTTGTTGAAGACGATTACGAAAATGACTTAATGATGGAGGAGGTGGTGGTGGTGGTATTGAACAATCAGATGATGATCTTATTGAATCACGTTCAATATTTTGTTGTAATTGTTGTTGTTGCTGTTGTTGTTGTTGTTGATGATAATAATGATCACCAACTAATGGTGATTGTGTACCACCAATATGACCTCTTGTATTTGGTGAACCAATCATCATTTGTGGTGGTGTGGGCGTATCAGGTGAATATTTATCAACAGGATCCAAATGATGAGATGTACAAATAGTACCACCATTTGGCTGTACAGTTTGCATCTGTTTAGGTCGCCTTTCATTAGATGATGGATATACTAAATGATGATGAGCAGTTGATGAATGATGATGCATTGGTGCAATATCTAAATCAGGTACATAGCAACCATTTTCTTCTGAATCATAATAACCCATTTGTGGTATATCATCATCATCAACACCAATATCTGGTTTTTGTCTAATAGCATTTGCTGTTACAATTTTACGACATCTTGAACCAGATGATGATGATGTTTGTTCACCATGTTCTAATGGACATGAACGATCTAATGATGTAATAGTCATTGTACGATCTAATCCAACTTCCATTGATGCTTCACGTGAACGTCTTAATTTATATTCACGTTTACGTTGTGAACGTTCTTCAATTTTACTCCAACATGAAATAGCAATGGAAGCACACATACCAAATACAAGTGCACAGAATACAATCAATATAACAACCATATGTTGTGAATTAAGATTCAATACACCTTTGTTACCTATTTTATTTGAAAAAATTCTTTGTGTGAAAAAACGACAAAATTCAAAATAAAAATACAAAATTACCTGGTGCACAAGTAGTTTGTTTATCTTCATCATAACGATATTTACAATTATCAACACCATCACATTTTAAACCAATATCGATACAAGTTGAATCTTCACAATCAAATTCATCAGGACGGCAAGTTTCTGCTTTTATATTATGGATTTTGGATTTTGATTTACGTTTGTTGTTTGCATGGAAAAAAATTTTATTCACCAAACAAATTAATTATTCAGCAAAAAGCAATTATTGATTTTAATAAAAAGCCAAATCACACACACAAAAAACGAATTGAAAAAAAATAAGCGAAAAATGCAAACAATTTATAAGCGAACAAGCCAAAACGGTGAAAAAAATGAAAGGAAAAGAAAAAAAGAAGAAAACAAAATCAAGTGCCTGAGTATTTTATTCGACAAACAAACAAATAAACAAAAAAAAACAAAATAGATTTTTTCAATTATAAAATACCTTTATTTGATAATTCACGAAATGCAGTGAATGTAATTTCAAATTGTACATTACTTAATGCGTCCGGTTTAGCAAAAAAACGTATATTCATATGATTATCATCGGATCGTACTGGTTCAGCTTGTGTACCACAGAATCGTTGTTTACGTGCTAAATCGCTTAATTTTTCACCATAAATATCAATATAATTTGCTTCACAATTATTTGGACTTGTTAATTTATATTCTTTAAAATTTAGATACATCTAAAATTGTAATTTAAAAAAATTTGGTTATTTTATCGTTTGAATTAAGCATTACTTTCAATTATTTACCTTATAACCAGCTGCAACAGTTATATTCCACATACAATCAATTGGAACATTTTGTGTTACTGAATAATTTGTTAGCTCAAGTGGTATATCACGATTTTCGATGGTCCCACTAACACCGGTTTTATTAAAACGACATTCATCTGGTGGTTCTGGTCTTTCATCTGAATATTTGTTTTGATATTAATACTTTGTTCGTTGTTGAGAGAAAATAACTTACTTGTCATTTTGATAAAGGAATAAACAGCTCTAAATCCTTGATATTCAATACTATCATCGGATACAAAACGTAAAAAGAGGTAACGATCATTTGAGATAATATCTCTTGGAAAATCTGGGCCACATAATTTTGCCAATGGTGATGAATAACCATATGCACCATCACGTATTTCAAGATAATCATATGCACAATTTGGTGAATCTTCAAGTGAAAATTGATCCCTAAATTCTATACTGATCTGATATCCATGTGGTGCTAAATTAATGAATTTTTTAAATTTTAAAAAATGAATTTTTTTTTCTTTCAATAATCATCACTAACCTTGTATCACTCTTTCACATTCAGTATCATTGGGATAATTATTTGGATAATTTGGTGAAAAAAATTCTTGATATTTTAAATTTCCAACTGTAAAATTGTAGCATGGATCATTTGGATCGATTGCAATCATTGCATCGAAACGTGGATCACCACCACCGCCACCACCAACAGTATCAAATATTGTATCATCTAATTCTAATGGTGATAAATCTGCTTGTAAAAAAGCTGGAAATGACCGTAGTCTTTGTTGTTGTTCAGATTTAGGCTTTTTTGTTAATTTTTTTGATTCATTTTTTGGCTGTCTTTTTTCAATCTGTTTGATCGATAATTTTGATTGATCTTCAATCGATGATAATAGAAATGAATCTTGTATATTTTGGCCCGTTATAAGGGATGATGATGATGATGATGTTTGTTGTGATGGTAGTAGTGGTGGTTGTTGTTGTTGTTGTTGTAATATCACCGGTCCAAGACTATTGTCTAATGATGTATCTTGATGGTGGCCACCACCAACGCCACCACCAACAACAACACCATTGATCACCGTTGAGGTAGCTGATGATGATAATGATAATGATGATGATGATGATGATGATGATTTAAAGGCGGCAGACAATGCCGCAGATCTTTCGGCAGCACTGCTGAAATCTTTGGCACGAACTAATTCTAGATTTTTTTACCAAATAAAAGATTCAAAACAGTGGAAATAAAAAAATAATAATAAATTGAAAGAAGAAGAAAAAAGAGATTAGATTAGATTTTTTTTTTCATTTCCAAAGCGAAATCAAATCAAATTTTATTATTATTATTATTAATGTCAAACGAAACGAGAAAAAAGTAAAATAAAATGAAAATTTTCGTATTTGCATGACAATTGATTTGACATGATAATATAAATCCAGCGATTTGTGTGTTTGAACTACTTGATTTGAAAATATGAAAATTCAACGATAGAGAATGAGAAAGAAAGAAAGAAAGAGAAACTTTAATTTAAATGTAAATTTTTTTTCTCTCTCACTATTCTCATTCTCGTTTTCGGGTGTATGTGTTTACCCCATAAATTGACAAATTGTTAAAAGAAAAAAAGAAAGAATTTTCAACAAAGTCAAAAACATTTTTTTTTTTTTGAAAATCTCATTCAACAATGATGATGATGATGATGATGTTTTTTAATGACATTGGCTGTTGTTTTGCCGGGGCCAATGATATATATTTTCCATCCATTTAAAATATCTAAATATTCTTTGTCCACCAAAAACATCCACATAGCCGTGATGTGTGTTTGTTGTTTTTTGGTTGGTTGGTAAATGACAAATGCAGATCCATTTTCAAACAATGCCGAAAAGAAATGGAAAAAAAAAGATTCTGAATTGCAAAATAGTTCCACATTTTACAAACATCATCATCTTTAATATCAAACCAGAGAAAAAACTTAATCGAAAGGAAAAAAGAATGAAGCGAAAGAAGAAGAAAAATTGTTTGAATTTTAAATTTTCTTTCTTTCTTTCTTTCCAATGTGACCGGCCGGTCATTTTTGTTGAAAAACTTGCTTTGGGTATTTTTATATATTTAAATTTTTCGTTCAAATAAATTATTTCCATCATAAACTGGATATACTGGATTCTGGTGTTTGAACATACCAGAAAAAAAAATTATGATGGTCATCTTTTCTCTCTCTTTCTCTTTCACTTTCTCAAGAATTCAAGGCGAAAAAAGAAAATTCTGAATTTGACAGCTGATATACGACACCACCATACATATCTTATTATTATTCGTTATGTTTTTTTTTCTCCTGTTTTTTTCTTGTTTGTCTGTGTAGAATAATGTCATTTTTGTTTCGAGAATAAAGTTGAGAATTTTTTTTTTTTTTTTTTGATTCAAACAACAAAAGACAAACATTCGATGAGAAAAAAAAACTTTCTATTCCATTATGAAATGCGCCAAGAGAAAAAAGTTTCTTGTTTCTTTTTTTTCACACACACACACACACACACTAACACACAAAAGCATCTTATTTATTCGGACTATGTATCTTTTTGTTTTGTTTTATTGGTTATTTTTTCCCTTGTTTTTGGCTTTGATTTTTCACACACACACACGGTTGTTGTTTACCGTATCGATCGGTAAATGTTTGCGTGTTATAATATTCTATACACACACAAAGATTTTTTGGTGTGAAAATAATGTCAAGTATGGAAAAAGTGAATGGAAATGGAAAACAAAAGTTTTCGGTAAAAGAAAAAAAAATGTTTTTTTTTCCGCTACATTATCGATTATTGGTATTTGAATGGATGTAAGAGAAAAAAACCACAGTGAAAAAAAGTGTCAAATATATTTATATAAATTATCATTTATCGATATTCATCGGAAAACTTTTCTGGAAACAAGTTTATTTTTCTTACCCAAATTTGCATCATTACCATACATCGAGAGAAAATTTCTGGCAAAATTCTGATATAATACGAACAAATCGACAACAACCAGATTATGTAATTACATTGCGGTTGATGTGGTCTATTTTTTCTAATTTTCATTTCTAAAAAAAACTTTTTTCCCTTTTTTTCGCGGTTATGTTCATTAGAAATTTCACACGAATGCACTGTGTTTGAAAAACAAACAACAACAATTTTATGGTGACAGTTTCGAGAGAGAGAGATCGAATTAACCGATTACAAAAAACCGATCATTATTATTGGGAAGTAAAAAAAATAAAATAAGAAAATTCAACTAACCAACTAAAACAAACTAATTTTGAAAATCGAAACCTTTGAACCGAACCATAGAAAAATTTATCGATTCACAATTTCACAAGTATCATTTGTTTACTCTTTTGGATGATAATCTGGTTGTCATTAAATGATTTTTTCTATTTCATCGAGTGATATTCCTTATTAGAATTCAATATTAAAAAAAATCGTATCGTTTTTGAATGACAAGTAGTGGATGTTATGGAAAAATATATTTTGAAAGTTTGAAGCATTTTTTTCCCCTTATAGATAATGGTTGACATTGAAATACTAGCAAGTAAATATGTTTATGAAGGATATGTCAACAAAAAAAAAAAAAAAATTTCGATCTCGTTCGTTTTGTTTGGTTTGTAATGAAATTTTATACTCGAAATAATTATTACAAGACATGCACACACACACATACATTAAAAATAACAACTAAAACCACCATCATCATCATTATTATCAATTTGAAATGTCTTTTTATTATTCTAGCTGTACTGATCATCTAGCATCTTGAATATTTTTGCTTTTGCTTTGGTTTCGTTATATGTAAGCCGATATTTTCACTCTCTTTTTAGTATAATGGACAAATTTTTTTTTTAAATAAAAACTTACTTGAATGATGATAATAGATTGGCTGGAACACAACGGTCGTAACCATTATCAAAAGGTATCCGATCGTTTGGTGCAAAAATGCTATTTGTTTGTTTTTCGATTGTATCAGCAAACCGGAAAGATTTTTTGTAAAAAAATTTGAATTTAAAAAGAGAAAAATAAAAAGTAAAATGAATTTAATTTGAATTTTGTTTTTTTTTTCGTTTGAATTTAATTTAAATTTTTATAAAAACAAAAAATAAAAAATTTTAATTTTCATTCAAAAATGTTTGAATTTAAATCTCTCTTTTTTTCAGTGTTGGTGTTGGTGTGGTGGTGAAGCTTTTCTCTTGTCTCAAGATTTAATATTTCTCTTGATTATTCTTCATCTTTTGATTCTTCATTTTCAGTATTTTCAGGTTCCGTTGTTTTCTTCGCTTCAGATGATTTGTTTAGTGATTCTGAATCAGCTGCTGCTGATCCTTCACTTTTTGCTTCCGTAATATTTGTTTTAGTTACTTCCGTCGTAGCTGCCGCTGAATCAGGATTTGTTTTTGTAGTTTCATTTTTAGATTCTGATTCTGCTTTTGTTTCTGTTTTTGTTTCTGGTGGTGGTGTTGTTGCTGTTGTTGCTGCTGTTGGCGGTGTTGTTGCTGTTGTAGCTGCTGTTGTAGCTGCAGTTGTATCTTTTTTCGGTGTCAACATTTTCATCATTATATCCATCATCTTTTTTTCCTGTTCAGCTAAATGATGTGCTAAACGTATCCGTATACCACGAGCAATACAATGAATTTTAATCAGATCATCTTTAATATCATTTGTAATTTGATCTGGTCTTATGTCACGTAAAAGATTTACTACCTGTTCGATTGCTTGACGATTTTTTTCAATTTTAAGTGCTACATCTGAATCTAATTTACATGTATTGAATAAATATTTTGCTGCATCATCATTTTTACCCATTTCTAAAGAAAATGGTACAGTTTTTGATTGAAAATCCATTGGTTTCGATGTTGATCCGGCATTTGATGTATCCACATTAGTTTTTGTAGCTTCAGTTTTACTTTCATCTGCAGTTGTTGATGCTGTTGTTGTTGTTGTTGCTGCTGTTGTTGTTGCATCTGTTTTTGATTTTGATATTTTCGATTTGCTTTTTTTACTTGCAGATTTCTTTTTACCTTTACCTTTTTTTATACCAGACTTTTTCTTACCGGCTTTTTTTGATGCAGCCATAATAATAATAATAATAATCCAAAACGGATTGCCAACAAAATATTTTTATTTTTTTTGTTTTGATACGTATAAATTTGAACGAAACAACAACGAAACAAAAATGAATTGAAATGAATTTAAGAAATAAATTTTTATGGTTATTTTCAATAAATTTATAGCCATTCTTTTCAATTTCAATGAAACAAAAAAACCAAATTGAATTATCGAATTTTTTTCTTTGTTGTTGTTGTTGTGGTCGATGAAAGTGTTAAATTCCAAAAAAAAAGAAATTTTCAATGAAAAAAAAACATACCTTTTGTAAAGCTATTGCCTGCAAGGTTAACCATTTGAAGTAGCGTATTTTGATGTTTTTGTTGTTGTTTTTTTGTTGTTGTTGTTGTTGTTGTTTTTTGTTTGGCTGATCCGTTGGCCTTATGCAAAGCCTTCGTCTAACCGTATACAACAATGGTTATTGTAATAATGAAAAAAATGATGAAAAAAATCGTATATCTTAATATTGAACATCAAGATTGTTGTTTGTTGAAGTTGTTTTTTGCAAATTGATAAAGATTCCAAATGATTTTCGATTTACCTGTTATTGTTTTTTCAGAAATAGAGAAGAAACGAAACAAAATAATTAATTTTCATTGAAAATTTTTTTTGAAAACAAAAATAAAAATTCACACATTCCAACGAAAGATGGCGCTGATTTTGGTTAATTTTTTTCAACATAAATAAAAATTCAATTTTTCTAATCGATCAATACCAGAAACAAAAAACAAAACAAAAATCCAGCTATTGATTTTTATCCGAAACAAAAGAAAAGGAATAAAATCTGATGAATCAACAGTAATCAACTATGTAAGTAAACATATGGCATCATTGAAAACAAAACAAAAAAAAACAGACAAAAACAAGTCAAAAGTCAGAATATTCTAGTCGATTGAATTCTTTAAAAATTTTTTCGTTTTTTTCCCATACGTTATCTTTGAAAATCAAAATGTATTGTGTTATTTTTAGATTCACAAACGATTCGTTTCAATTTTGCCCATCAAAACAAAACAAAAAACGAACAACATATATCATAATTCAGAGCAATATGAAACCGGCATTCTATGGATCCCGAAAATAAACGACCAACTGATGATGATGATGATCAAAGCAATGTGTGTGTGTGTTTAATACGAAGAAAAACTAACTGAAACAGTCGAAATGAAATGATGAACAATGACATTTGAATATCAGAATTAATTAAGCTCAAATGGTAACCATTTTTTTTTTTTTTTATTAAACCAAAAACAAAACTATATTCCATCATCATCATCCGTATTGAACATTGTCAGTCATGAATTCATTCATTCATTGAGCTAAATTTAGAAGGAAAAAATTCTGTTTTTAGCAAAGAATTAAGAACAGAAGATTATATTATATTCATGTTGAAGAAATATGATGGTTAAATTTCACATTATCATCATCATCATTATTCTATTCTAGTTTTCTTCTCTTCTTCTTCCCCTTTCACTATCTTTTTCTTTTCTTTTCAAACTAAAAGAAAAAAAGGCGAAAGAATGAATGAAAAAAATTTCCTGTCTACCGAAATATAATCATATAATATTTTTTTTGCAAAATGTTAAATATTAGTTGTTCTTTATGATTATCTTCATCATTTTTCTCTTATCTCTCGGTAAAGTTTCCGATTTTCTTTCTCGAACAAAAATACTTGTTTCTTGGAAAATTTTCCAATTTTAAATTTTCTGTCTACAGAAATTCATTAGAATATTTTTCCAAAAAAGAAAAGAAAAAAATAAAATGATAATTTCCTAAGGATTTTCATTCCTTTAGAATCATTGAATCTATGAATGTTAATAACGATGATGATAATTTGAAATCCTTCTTTTTTTTTATTTTACCCGGTTTGTTTTTTCAATCTTGTAAGAAATGTGGAAATCGCTAAATCTCTTTCTCTCAGCTGAATCTTAGAGATTTGTTTTCAATTATTCGGTTCAAAAACAGAAGAAAAAAGAAATTTTCATTTTGAAAAAAATAATTTCCATATTTTTTTTTCTTCGTCGCTATAAAGAAGAAGCGAAACAAAATGTTTGCCATAGTTTTCGTCATTCCAGAGTTATTCTTTGGATTTTCTGCTTTTTTGTTTTTGTAATTTAATTTTTTTCCCATTTAATCGTGCTCGAATAAACGGAAGAATAGCCTCATCATTTCCATATGTTGTGCGTGTTTCTCGGTTCAAAAAAAAATGCCTGTATGTGTGTGTGTCATATTCCACATGTGATGATTATATGAAAACTCACGCTTAAAAAAAATTTGAATTTCATTTCGTAAAAACAATAATAATAATTTTTCATTTTATTTTAAACTTTTAAATTTTTTTCTTCCGTTTTTTCTTTCTTCGCTCACTCTGTTTGTAAACAATCAACAAAATTCAACAACATCCGTCATCTATGAACATCCATCATCAACAATAACATTCGAATTTTTCGAAAAAATAATAATAATAATTCAAAATTGGATCTTTGCAAAAAAAGAGCACAAAAAAGAATTTCATTTGAAAAAAGGAAAAATAATAAACCTCAATAGACATATATAGACGAAGGCAATTTGTATTTGCAATTGTCATCTGCACCCTTTTTTTCGCATTGTTCTCCGAAAAAAATTTTGTTTCTGGTAACAGCGAAAAATTCATTTTCTTCATTCTGGTCGTCACCATAATAATAAAGGAACGAGATAATATAAACCCGAACCGCCGACCAAAAGAAAAGAACGAAAAACTAATTGAATAACAAGAGAAGAAAAGAATATAAAAAATGATGATACGCCTTATCTTACAACGAGCATCATCATCATCATCCAAAACATCGTTAATGTCATCTCATTCAATTTCGAATATTCGTTTCTTATCTTTTATTATGGAACAACAACGAATGTTTTCGTTTAATCATTTGTTTAAACAACAACGTTTCATTTACAATAATAATCTATGCGGTTACAATAATCATCATCATCATAAATGGTTAATGTTACCATTATCATCATCATCATCATTATCATCAAAATGTTTCATCAATTCGAATGTATTTTGGATAAAAAATTTTACCAAAGAGAAGATTAAAATCTATGATAATATTATTTGGAAATCATCATCATCATCATCATTGAAATTTCATGATTTATCATTCAAATCATCATCAAAAACATTGTTGTCAACATTGAATAGATTAACAGAATTTGATAATAATAATAATAATGTCATCAATCGATTGATAAAACCTATTTGGTTGTTGTTGTTGTCACAACGACCAGAATATTATTATCTAATCAATAATAATAATAATAACATCATTGGAAATGATATTGGACAACAACAACAACAACAACAATCATCGATTCGAGTATTTTCATCCAATTCAACATCGAATATTGACAATAATAATGATGATGATGATGATAATAGAATCAAATCATGGTATGTATATGATGATGTTTTTTTCAATTTTCTGGTTGCCTAGTGAATTTTTTTTCCTTTTTCTTTTTCTTTCTATTTTCTATATTCGAAATTGTCTATATGGTGGGGGGGGAATGTATTCAATTTAATCCAATTTTCTCTCTGTGTGTGTGTGTGTGTGTGTGTGCATGTGGATGGCTATCACATTCATTCATTTAAATTACATTTCAATTGTAAATGTAAATATAGGAATATATATCAGAAATGTTAGAATGAATGAATTCGAGAGAGAGACAGAGAATATTCTGTAATTGTCATTTACAATGAAATTCTAATGGGTAATGAGAGAGATGCTAGCTATTTTTTTCCTACTACTTTTTTTTCATATTCAGTTTCAGAAATCAAACCAAATGAGTAGCCAAAAGAATACATTGTATGTATCACTATGGATATATATCTTTTGGTTTTTTTTCTGAATGTTTACAATGATCATCAAGTGCTTTCTACTGTTGTTGTTATTAAGGTTGATGCAAACAAACATTATCACATTTTTTTCACTTCCTTCTGAATGTATCAATGATGATGATGTAATGATTTAATCATTTTCATTAACAAACATTGGGTTATACTAGGGGAAATTCTTTTTTGAATTCCATTTCACAACCATCATCATTATTATTATTTTAATGGATAGAATTTCGATATTGATGGAGAAAGTATTTTCTTTTTCTTCATTTTTTTTTGCATCATTTTATATTTACAATTGATGGCGAAAAAAATATATATCGATATATCGATAGTTGAAGCCCATTAGTTTGATGAATAAATGAATTTTCAAATACTGTATACTGAAATAGAATAGTTTTGTGTAGAGAAATAAAAAAAATTTTCATTCTAAACATCTTTGGAATGTTATCATCTAATATTCATTTCCTTCCCCCCACCACCACCACCACCAACACACATTGAAAACCATAAAATTTTTCAATGGAAAAAAATTTTCCATTTTTCACTTTTAATATTTCTCTAATTTCATTGGGTATTCCAAGAACAACAACATTCAACAACAACAAAATTCATAACCACAAAAAAAAACATTAATGATATTTATCAAGAGAGAAAGAAAAAAGGAAATTTTATGTAGATAAAATTTATTCACATTTTGCAAATTTAATTGACTTTCATCATCATCGTTATGGGCAAGTTAAGTTAAGAATTGAAAAAAAATGATGAACTTTCTTGGGTCTATCTTCGTAGTAAAACTAACCAAATAACAACAAAAACAGCAAAAAAAAAATTCTTGAATTACAACTAAAGAATAATGAACAAGATAGGAATGAAAATGAAAAAAAAAGAACAGAAAGTGAAAAAAATGAACAAAATGGATTCTTAATGTCCTTTTTTTCCCTTCCACACACTCTTTTTCGGTTGGTTTGAATTCCGTTGTTATCATCATTTCAATTTCATTTTTGCAGTTATTTAGTTATACCACACACACATTTTTCGTTTATCATTGATGAACCAAGAAAAATGAAATGAATGCAAAGCGAAATTTTCGTTTTTTTTCAAATTTAATACTACATCCTTTTCTTTTTTCTTTCTTCTTAGTTGGAAATGTGATAAGCCATTACATGAACATCATCCGCAACAACAACAACATTCGAATGTAACTAATGGATTGAATAATGTTCAGGTACTGAACAACAACGATAACAACAACAACAAAATAATCATTAAATGTCCACATTGTCAAACAATACAGCCAATCAGTAAAAATGTTAACTATTTTCAACTATTTAATATTTTGGAACAACAACAACAACAAACAAAATCAACAACGACAACAACAACAACAAATAATTATCATTTAAATTATAATATCGATTTAGAATATTTACGAAAAAATTATTTATGCTTACAGCAAAATATGCATCCTGATATGAATATTAATCGATCAAACGTATGTATTTTTGAACTAAATTACATATTTGAAAAACGGTTATTCTTCGGTACGGGAAAAAAATATGTTGATGATAATGATGTGTGGTATCGAGAGAGAGAGAGAGAGAGAGAAAACAAAATGTCTTTATATTTTTGAGAAATTGTGTGTGTGTGTGTGTTTTGGCCTTGTTTACCATCTTTTTTCAACGATGATAGACATGTTTTTTTTGCATCCCAAAAATCATTTTGACATACAATGGCACAAACAACTAACCACCTACAATTTAATAGAAATAGAAACCAACCAGTTCGACAGTTATAGGGATGGATGGATATATTTGAATGTGGATAGAGAAAGAGGCAGGTATAAACGAAACAGAAAAACAAAACAACACGAGTATACCATTAGCCATTATCTTGTTATGTTTGTTTTTTTGTTTCTATCGAAAATGGTAATTTTCATTTCTAACAGAGGAGTAATATTTATTGACATTGAAATCTTGGAAAATTTATAGCTATAATCATCATTGTCGTTGGTTGAAACTTTTTTTTTCTTTCAAAAAAAATGAATAAATTCATCAATCCTGATGATGAACTGAATTGATCGAAAAAGAATTAAATATAAAAAAAATGAAAATGGCAATCCAACAACAGCCGAAAAACGAACTCTTTGAAAGATCCAAATTTTGTTTTGACTTTCGATAATGATAAAAAATGGATCATTTGTGATTTTAAAGAGTTTCAAAAGTTTTTTTTTGATTTCTTTTTTCTTTGATTTCGGCTTTTTCTCGAGAAAAATCTGGAGAAAGTAGGGGAAAAACATCCAAAAAAAAAAAGAAATCCATGTTTCAGATTTTTTCATGTTTCGATTCTTCTTTCTTTTCTTTTTCTTTTTTCAAAAGTGTATTTTCAAAAGAAATTGTTCAATTTCATTTCACCAACCAACCAGCCAACCAACCAAAACAACAATATTTTGTTCGACAAGGTCGTTTCATTTTGTTTCGATGAAGAATGTGTGTGTTTGGATGAAAATAGTTGTCGGTATCAGAATGAAAAAGAAAAGAAAAGAAAAATTTATGGCTTTCAATTCCATCATCATTTCAGAAATATTGCCGGGTATTTTTCTTCTTCTTCTTCTTTTTCGCTTTCGGTTATTATTATTATTATTATGTTGATAAGGATCATTTCTTCAAGAATTGAATGTTTTAAGTTTTTTTTGTTCATCTTTGATCTTTTTTTTTAATATTACCACATGAATGCTACTACTACGACGACGACGACTATTTTTACTGGTTCTGGTTCATCCCGAAAATGTCATTGTCAAATGTGAAGCAATTCATTTCATTTTCAAACATTTTTCTTTTTGGTATTTTGGATTTTCTTTTCTCATCTTTCTTGTTCAAAATGAATAGAATATTGAGAGAATGTAATATTTTACTTCTATTCTGGGTAATAGATGTTTGATGAAAATAAACGAATAAAGTTTTGTGCGAATGATAAGCAACAACAACAAAAAAAACATCGTGTTTGGAATGATGGTTTTTATTTTTGTCAACGACTTTTTTGGAAGCTTGGGTGAAGTAAGCAAAACTTAAGATGAATGTATTTTTGATCAGTTTTCTTTTTCGCTTGTTGTTGTTATTTAAGTGGAAATAGTTTTAGGGGAGATCCGGTTAAGAATCAATCGGTTATGAAAATATGTGTGTGAGAGTGAGAGAGGAAAAGGTTTTTTGTTTGCCGGTTAAGCTCTCATCATCATCAATTCCGTTTAATTAATCTATCTTTTTCTTTTGTTGTTTTTTTAGATTGAAAATGAACTTTCATCAACAAATTCATCGATTATAAATGATGGTTATAAAATATTACGTGATCCATATCAACGTGCTATTTATATGTTACAGTTAATGTTTAATATAATCATCGATGAAGGTATTTTTTTTGCTGTTTTTACTTTTGTTGTTAATGCTTTTGTCAATTTTTTCTGTTTTTCGTTTTTTCAATAGTTAATGTAGATTCTGAACCAGAATTATTACTTGAAATAATGGAATTAAATGAAGAAATTGAATTGGCCAATAATGATCATGATGGTCAACAAATATTAATGGAACAATTGGAAGAAAATATTGAAAAATTGATAAAAAATTTAACCATTGCATTCGATGAATTGAATGCTAGTGAAGCACGTAAATTAACAATCAAATATTCATATTATAATAATGCATTGGCAAAATTGAAATCATCAATTTTGAAAAACAGTGGCAAATGATATTCATGTATTCTTGACCCATTTTTGTTTTTGTATGCTGTAATGAAATATTTCATTTTTTTTCATTCAATAAAAATAAAATAAATGTGAAAACAAAAACAAAAACATTGTTTGTGTGTGTGTTTGCTTTATTTGATCGGAAAATTGATTGAACAACAACAACAAATTGCATATCCCAAAGTCAGAAACATCCTTTTGAATTTTTTTTTTTTTTTTTTTGGTTTTTCATGAATAATGATTCTGTTTTTTTTTTTTGGTTTTTGTTTACATCACAGACA